GAAGCAGCAGATGTTTTAAAGGAATGTTTTTACGTAGATGACTGTTTTAGCGGCGCTAGCTCTGTTGATAAGGCAGTTGAATTACAACAGCAATTACAGACTTTACTACAGTGCGGCGGATTTACACTGCGAAAATGGAATTCCAATTCCGGAGATTTTCTTCAAAAAATTCAAGGAACAAATGCCAATAAAATATGTGCGCTTAATTCGGACCAAGATACTAAAGCACTGGGAATTTATTGGTCATGCCAGGATGACTATATTGGGTACAAGGTAAAAGTGAGCGTAGTTTCCGTAGCAATCACTAAAAGACAGCAGCTTTCCGACGTTGCAAAAATTTATGATCCTGCTTGCTTGCTGGCTCCTATCATCATCACTGGCAAGCGTATGTGCCAAGATCTTTGGCGTACCGGATGTACGTGGGATGACCCGATTCCCGAACCTTACCAGAGTGAATGGATAAAATTCCGTGATGAGATGCCACTGATGGAAAACGTAGAAATTCCGAGGTGGCTTTTCACAGCGGACGACATAGAAGAAGCTCGGTTGCACGTATTCTGTGACGCGTCATCAGCAGCCTTCGCAGCCGTCGCGTATCTACGGGTGTCGCAGTTGAACGGTGAAATAAAAGTATCTATTATCATGGCGAAGACCAAGGTGGCACCGTTAAAGAAACGAACCATACCCTGTTTGGAACTAAATGGAGCAGTGCTTGCGAGTACTTTAACCTGCAAAATTCTTGAAACTCTGCAGCTTAAATCTACTCACACATGGTACTGGTGTGATTCTAAGACAGTGATCAGCTGGATTCGGTCCAATCCTGGACAGCATAAGCAGTATGTTGCCAACCGGATAGCAAAGATTCAGGAGCTGACAAATGTAGACGCGTGGCGGTACGTGCCCACTAAATGCAATCCGGCTGATGTCGCGTCTCGTGGCATTTACCCTTCGCAACTTGAAGGCGTTAGCATATGGTGGGCGGGCCCCACATGGCTACAAAAGGACTAAAGCTATTGGCCAGCAAGCATCGTGATTGAACCAACAAGCACCCAGGCGGCTGGGAACGACGATCTTAGCATTGTGTCACTAATATCAGTTCCTAAGCCTGATTACTGGATTCTTCAAAAATACTCGTGTATCCAAAACCTACTAGCCGTCACTGCTTGGTGCCAGCGTTTTGTATGTGCAGCATTGAGAAGACCCCATGAGAACACTGACTTTTGCACTGCTGCAGAGAGAGCTAAGGCGTTGAAATATTGGATAAGAAACGTTCAAAACATACATTTTTGAAATGAAATGAATTAATGAAATCTCCAGTCTCCGGCAGAAAAGAGGACTCAATGCAAAGAGCAAACTCCCAAAGCTCAACCCAGTGCTGGATGATGATGGACTTTTGCGCTTAAATG